CTCTCACATGCAAATCTGCCCGAAAGCTCCCTGGAGCCCTAAAATCCTAACCCTAAAACCCCAAGACACCAAAACCCTAAAACCCTAGACCCGAACATTTTCCTTTCTTCGGGTTTAAGAGGCTCATATTCGGGAACATCTTAGAGAGTAGACCTAACGGTGCCAACCGAGAAACTGACAGCATGCCTTCCTTCATGGGAATCCATCCTCAAGCCCAGACACCCCAAGCCCTGTAAGACCTGGAAGGCAACTTCCCTAGCCAGAGAAAAAAACAAAAAACCAAAACCCTAAAACCTTAAACCCTAAACCCTAAACCCTAAACCCTAAACCCTAAACCCTAAACCCTACAAGCAACAAAAAGAAGCAGTTCTCCGCCCAAGGCCGTTATCGCAAGGGTCGTTGTCGCAAGGGTCCCGGCAGAGTGCCGGGTTTCAGACCATGCCTCAGCCACATCAGGAAGGCGCCCGGGTTCAGGGGGTTTAGGGTTTAGGGTTTATAAGTTCAGGGTTTAGGGTTTGGGGTTTGGGGTTTAGGGTTTGGGGTTTAGGGTATAGGGTCGACAAGGCTTCGCATTACAGGAGAATTGGAATGGGTCTCCCTTTTCTTGAAGAGAGGACAAAACTGATAGTTTTTGCTTGGTGTATTGATGGGACAATGAGCATTCTGATTTTTCGAGAACGGGACTCTAGAGAAAGACAAAGAGACCGAAAACAGTAAACCCTAAACTCTAAACCTGGCCTGCAATGCGGATTCGCCCCAGCTGTGCAGGAGGGAAAAAAAGGCTCTTTGGAGACGGTGTTAAACCCTAAACCCCAAACCCTGGGCCAAACCCTACTCCCTAAACCCTCAACCCTCAACCCTCAACCCTCAACCCTCAACCCTCAACCCTCAACCCTAAACCCTAAACCCTAAACCCTAAACCCTAAACCCTAAACCCTAAACCCTAAACCCTAAACCCTAAACCCTAAACCCTAAACCCTAAACCAAACCCACTGAAGAGAGGCACCTCGCCCCCTTCGCAGCGGGGCCTCGGCTCTAGCCGCTCCGCGCCGGCACGGGCCAACTCGCCACGTCTGCGTCTGGGGCTGCATTGGGTTTAGGGTTTAGGGTTTAGGGTTTAGGGTTAAGGGTTTAGGGTTTAGGGTTTAGGGTTTAGGGTTAGGGTTTAGGGTTTAGGGTTTAGGGTTTCGGGTTTAGGGTTTAGGAATTCATGGAAGCTTGCGAAAATAAGGGGCCAGACCCCCAAATAGTAGGAACCCTTTATAGTCTTTATAGTAAGGACTCACAATAAGGCACCCCTAAATTCCGTAAACCCCCAAATGAACCCTAACATTTCGTCACCCCCCCATCGTTTGGCAGCACCTCCCTAAACCCTAAACCCTAAACCCTAAACCCTAAACCCTAAACCCTAAACCCCTAAACCCTAAACCCTAAACCCCTAACCCCTAAACCCTAAACCCTAAACCCTAACCCCTAACCCCCGAACCCTAAACCCTAAACCCTAAACCCTAAACCCCTAACCCCTAAACCCTAAACCCTAAACCCTAAACCCTAGGGTGATGGAAAACGATGGGGGGTGGAGGTAACATTTGGGTCATACACCCTTTACGATATATGAACCCCAAATCCTTTTGGGTTCATTTGGTTCCTCTAGGTGGGGGAAGTTCTCTAGAGTTTTTCACTCTCTCCAAACACCGTTCCACGCTCTTATCCTCGACATACCCAAAGAGCCCAATAATCTGATTTTAGGGTATATTCCTTAATTAAGGGCTCTTTGGGTAGAGCATGTGGCATGGCTAGGTATCCAGGGGCCCGCCGCTGTCAACCGAAAACAGAAGCATTGCCAGCGAAAGGAGAAGTCTTGGACCAGATGCACCCAAATGAAGACCACAGAGTACTACTTTGTTCATGGGTACTTACAAGTAGGGTACTAAGTAGGTAAGTACCCATGAGCCTCCAAGCAGTTGGAGCCGAAAGCACATGCCCAAAAAGCCCAATATCCCTTAATTAAGGAATGTACCTTAAAGCATATTAGGGTCCCTATATGATTTAAGGAACATTCCTTAATTAAGCAATATTGGGCTCTTTGGGTGCAGAACACCCGAAACCTGAAAGCCCCGAAGGCCGCTCGAAGTCACGCCATCGGTCGCGAAGAGGACCTTCCATGGTTGCAGTTCTGCACCACGAGCTGGCAGTGTTGGTCCTCATGGGTAACCCTAAACCCTAAACCCTAAACCCTAAACCCTAAAACCCTAAACACTAAGTTCAAAAGCTGAATTTGCAAAAGTGCAGACCCTGGAGGACGCTGGCTCCTTTGCGCCGCGCCCCCTCGCCACGGACCACACGTTTAGGCAGGGTTGGTAGGGTTTAGGGCTTAGGGTTTAGGGTTTAGAGAGTTTAGAGAGTTTAGAGAGTTTAGAGAGTTTAGAGAGTTTAGAGAGTTTAGTTAGGGGTTAGGGTTTAGGGTTTAGAGTTTATCGAGTTTAGGTTTTGGGGGCTCGGGGAAGTTGGGCCTGTAGGAAAGAGTAAGCCCAACACCTCCCTCGCTGATGGCGGCTGCAGGCTCGCTATTGTTGGCACTCCGCGTCCCCTCGTTGAATCCGTTCGAGGGCGGTTACAAACAAAAGTTGAGAGAGCTCGGTCCAGATGGAGAGAGTGTTCCATGGAGCCTGCAGTCGACTTCACAAGTCCGTCGCAAACCCACGCAACCCTTCCCACCTCTACGAAGAAGTGCTCAAAACTTGCCTCTTGTAGACACTGTGGGCAACGAAACCGGGGCCAAAGCTGGTTGTGTCAAGTGCCCAGGCGAGCAGGGCGTTCTGCTAACGCCTCGCGAGAGCCTCGCTCGAAGCCGCGGGAGCCAAAGCGGCCCATGAAAACAAGAGCGCCTGCTTCCTTAACCCTCAACCCCTAAAACCCTCAACCCCTAAACCCTAAACCCTAAACTCTCAACCCCTAAACCCTAAACCGTAAGCTTCAGGGTGTCAGACCAGTACGTTAATCATGCCTATATCAGGGTGCTTGGGCAATGAGTAAGGAGATGCCAAGAATCTGTGCAGCATCAAGTTGCATACATCCTCTGCACTCCGCAACACGGATCAGCAGGGTGAAGTTGCGCGAGCATGAGAGGTGTTTTGGCCATCCTACTGGGGTGTTATCGTCGCTCTGGAGACTTGGCAGCAGTCGGTTCATTCAAGGTACCTGAGCGCGAGTGCTTTATCTCACAGAACAGGGCCGTTCCCCAAAGAGCCCTTTACACCCTTTCTGAACGCATATACCTCACAACATTTTCAGGACCCCTATAGAATTTAAGGTATATTGGGGTATTGATTTTTCTGGGCTTTCTGGGTGCTCAAGCATGCAGTCCAAGCTGTACCCTAAACCCGCCAGCGAGTCCTCATGAAACACCTCAGCAGAAGAAGCCCCCCTCTATCCGCACTATTTGCTTAAGCCCCCCCCCCTGCCAAAAAAGCAACAATAGAAGTTATAGTCCCTTTTGTCACCCTCAGAAGGCAGAATGTGTTGCTTTTGTGAGGGTGGTTCTTAAGCAAATAGTAGAATTCCCCAAGCCCTGAATTAAAAAAAAAAAAAAAAAAACATATTGGAGCATGTGGTGTGTGCCTGTGACCCAGGATGCTGGCAGTTCACAGGATGAGGCAGGGCAGGGAGGTGTTTTTTTTGTTTTTTTCTGGAACGCTCTGTGACATTAGGGGGTTCATTCCTGTATCTTTGTTTTTTGTGTGTGTGGGGGGGGGGGGGGTTAGGGTTTACTGGGTAGTCCTGGAGCCCAGTTGCAAAAGGGTTTGGGGCATTTGGCTTAGGTCCCCAAAAAGTTAGTGTCATGTGCGGACTGTGGTGGTGGGTTGCGGCTCCTGTCAAGACCGAAATCAAGCCAAAAAGCCTCACCAGATGGTGAGCATGCTGCCGCGTCTGATCGCCCAACATCCTTTGACAGCCAAAGCCAGATTCAATACATTCAGTGCTGCGTGGTCTACGTAAAGTGTCGGAGCCACCAGTGCAACCCACAAGCGGTAGCGCGAGTCCCAAACGCGTGTGACGGCACATTTCGGTCACAGAATGGAATGTCGCGCTTATACCATTCCGCGAATAATTGTTTGGTTGTAAACGGCGTGGACTTTGAACAAGACCGCCACTTGCGGATCAAAGCCACACACCCACACACACACACACCTCGGAAGAAGCACCACAATGAAGTGTAGATTTCAGAGCTCCATTTCACACGGTTCAGTCTGGGAGGCCCTTTGTCAGTCGCTCCCTTCTTGGGCCAGGTGCGGGGGTAAGACACGGTCAAGCCGTTTTCGGGTTTGTTGTGGCTTGCGGCTGCAGGTTGTAGGTTCGTCATGCGGTTTAGGGTTTCGGGTTAAGGGCTGGGTTTAGGGTCAGGGCAGCCATTCCTGTTGCTCCCCTTGTTGCAGCTTCGGTATGGCGGGGGGGGGGCGGGGAGGGTGGTGGTCGCAGGACAGAAGGGGCGGTTGTTGGACGTTTCCTGTGATCGCACTGTGTGGTCCTACTGCGGGAACGTCAAGACACTACACGAATTTGGCCTGTTTGGATATGATAATGCATGGAAATGCTGGCTAGTGCAGGCATTGCATTGCAGGTGCAAACTTTGCTCCAGTGTTTCTGGAGGGCTCTGCTTACATAATGCTTGCTCTGCAGCACAGTCTCCGATCTTCAGCTAGGGCTTTCCAGCGACGCCAACCTGAAACGCTAATCACAGCCCCACGCTCGGCTCATGTTCAAAAGTTCCTGCTGCAGGTGCGAGCTTGTGGCTCCTTGCTTCAATTCAATAGAGTTATGGACTGGGATGCTCTCCCCTATACTAACAGTCGTTAATGGGGATTATGGTGCCCCCTATTGTAATCCCTACTAAGGACTGTCAGTATAAGCGGATAGTATCCCAAATGACGGATTAGGAGTTCAAGGGCACCTTTGACATCCCGAAGCCAAACCCCGCAAGAACCCGCAGAGAGCGGTCA